CTGTGGGTGACCCTGCTGCCACTGAATTGACTTCCTGTGGGCATGCCTGACTGTGCCCGTGGGGTGACCCTGCTGCCACTGAGGATGCCCTCCTGCGGGCATGCCTGGCTGTGCCTGTGGGTGACCCTGCTGCCACTGAGGATGCCCTCCTGTGGGCATGCCTGGCTGTGCCCTGTGCTGCCATCCTCTGTCTGCCCACCTGTTGCTCCTGCCAGGAAGGGGCGAGCACCTGTAGGCCTCCTTATGCAGATGATGCTTAAGCATGGGTTTCTTCCATGGTGACCAGGAAGTGCCAGGGCAAGTGCTAGGGCGAGCGGGCAGACTGAGAGGGTGCTCAGAGCTGAGTCCATCTCGTGCCACTGTGACTAGGTTGGTAGGTCTAGCCGAGGCCTGAGGGGTCAGCGGCCTGAGCCACAGGTATGGGTCACTGCCTCCTCTGTCACTTGGCCCTCCTCCTGTGGCCCTGCCCTCTTTTCTGAAGGTGGAGCCAGCTCCACACCCCTTTCTTCTTTCCTGTCTGCATGGGTTTCCTCCCCGCACTGGCTGGTGGAGGGTTGTGTGCTGTCCCAGAGCTGCGCCACGTGGGCAGGCTGCCTGTACCCTTGGTCTGCCTTACTTGCTGACGTGCTGCCATCCCCTGTCTCTGCCCTCCCAAGGTCTTGGTGGCTGGCTGTCCTTGTGTTCCCAAGGAACTGAGTTCACTGGAATGGCAGGGCTGGTCCTGGTGCTCCCCCTCTTCAGGAGAGACCCAGCCTTAACCATGACTACTCTGGGCCTGTCCCCAGGAGGTGGCTGCTATCACTGTGTGATCTTAGTTCTTATCCAGCCTGGTAACCAGCATGACCATTACCTCCAGTTCATGGGCTCAGCGATTTCATAGCATGGAACAGCTGGGCAGTGGGCAGACCTCTGACCACAGGACTGGTTTGGGCAGGGTCTAGTCCATGTGGCCAGAAGGGCAGGTCTCTGAGGACTTTGAGGCTTGTAGGTTGCAAGTCTGACAGAGGCTTTGGGACCATCGAGGCCCTGGACTCTTGCAGGTGAGCTCCTGTTCCCGAGTGCTGGGCGCAGAAGCKCGTGAGGAGTACTTACGGATCCTTGGTGCCATGTGCCAGAGGCTCAGGTCTGCGCAGTACAATGGCAGCTACTTTGACCGAGGAGCTGAGGCCGGCAGCCGTCTCTGCACGCGGGAAGGCTGGTTCTCCTGCCAGGTGAGCAGTGTCCTTCCCTCTAGGTCAGCCCTGGTGGCCTGAGCACAGCTCTCCTTGAGCGAGGCAGGAAGAGTTGCACCCTTGGCTTGCCTGGCACAGCCTGTGGGAAGGGGTGGCCCTCGCATTCAGAGCTGGGAGGGCAGGCCTGTGAATAGCACTGAAGGCATGTTCTCGTCCCAGGACTCAGTTCGAGACCCTCTGGCCTGGACAGAGGGCGGCTGCAGGAGCGAGAGGCTCTGGCCTTGGCTTGTGCTGATGTTCATGTGCCCRGAGCCTTGCCATCAGCTTTCTGGGTGGCAGAGTCCCTGTGTGTCAGGATTTGTGGGGGCACTGGTTGAGCTTCACTCCCTGGTGGGGGCATCAGCTATAAAGAATGCTCTGGGCTGCACAGGCACACCCCCGGTTCTGGCCGGGCCACCTCCTGACGTCCAGAGGAGCGTCATTTCACATGGGGTCTGGAGGCTGGAGCAGTGATGCAGTGAGGGTGAGCCTGGCCGTCTGCATGTGCTTCCTGCGTACTGCTGTCCTGGGCTCCCTTCTGGGACATGAGGCGTGGTCCAGTGTTGAGTGGTAATGGCTCCAGGGCGTGGCATTTCTCTGGGCCCTGCTGCAGCATGGGGGGCACCTGCAGGGGGCCTCCTGCCATGGCAAACTGCAAGTGCTTGTACAGTGAGTCCCCACACTGGGGCCTTCCTGCTGGGTGTTTCTGACAGCAGAGCTGGGTGGCCATGGTRGCCTCTGACCACTGGGATTTCCTGTTGGACCATTCCTCATGGCGATAGGTGGTGATGGTAGAAATGTCCTCCTTCCCAGCTGGCCAAGCATACAGACTCCCAGGGGCTCACTGCACCATTTGCTGAGAGCTCACTCTGTGCCAGGTGCTATGCAATGAGCTGGGGACAGAGATGTCTCCTGCCTCTCTTGTCCTCGAGGAGGTCCCAGAGTAGTGGGAGGTGGACAGTTTGTGAGGGTGCCAGGGCAGAGGTGGCTGTGTGCTGGGAGGCTTCAAGGGGTGCAGAGGGTGGCAGGTGCGGCCATAGTGCTCAGCAAGAGTACCACAAACATCCGAGGCGTACAAGTGTTGGCCCCGGGAAGGTGGCATCCCCACCGCGGCATATTCACCTAGGCGGCTCAGCTTCTGTTGGTCGCAGGGAAAGTCCAAGAAGCCTTGCAGAGCATCATGCAGTGTGGTCCTACTCACCTCTCCCCAGCCATGGCCCTGGCTGTCAGCACCTTCCCCACTTCCCAAGAGGTAGGGGCAGCTGTGTGTGGTCACAGTGTCCTGGGACAGCTAGAGAAGACTGGTCTACCCAGCGCGGAGACATGTAGGCACATGATAAGACACGTCTCTAGAAGCCCTGACAAAAACTAACTTGTCCCCTTTGYAAACTCAGCAGATAGCGTCGGGCAGTGAGGAGATGGCCCCAAAGGCAGAGTTCCTGCCCTGCTCCTGACAGCAGATGCTTCTCTGCCCAGTAGGCTCATCCCAGGGGCTGGAGACCAGTGCAGGGGCTTCATCCTCGCCTCCCCTGTTCTGTCGCCGCAGGGCCCCTTTGACCTGGACAGCTGTGCGTCAAAGCACTCCATCAACCCCTACAGCAACAGGGAGAGCCGGGTCCTCTTCAGCACCTGGAACCTGGATCACATGTGAGTGTGCGGCAGGGGGACCTTTGGGAATGCCTGTTGCCGAGACTCAGGTTTGCAGACAAGAAGAGCAGCTTGCAGGGGTCCGGGCCCTGCTAAGGAGCCTGGGCTCACTGTTGTTGGCTGCCTGGTGTGTGCTTGCTGTGCTGCGTGGGTCTGGTCCAGGGAAGCAGCCCCGTGTGTGCACGTGGATGGGCTGCTGGACAGACATGTTCTGCCTGCTGTCACAGTGTGTGCCTGACATTGAGCCCTCTGCTCTCTGTTTCCACCTGTGGATGGACCTTGTCTGGCCTTAGTGCCTGACTCCCTGTGGCCTGGTGCTGGGCTCTCAGAGGCTGGTGCCACATGTTGGAACTGGAGCTGTGGCCATGGCCTGTGGGGAAGTTGGGGCCAGCAGGGCCGTTTCCACAGCTTCTTGTTTGCAGAGCTCTTCACAAGTCCTACGTCTCTGGTGGCTGTCAGTGTCACAGATGCCTTCCACCTGGCTGGCCTTCAGCTCTCCGATCTCTGATCACAGCAGATGTAGGTGCTGGGTATGCTCTGGGAGGAAGTCGTCCTGCCCACTTGTCACGAGGACTCGCCGAGTTCTCTGCTGGTTTGTTTGCTGGGCTCTTTCTGACACTGAGTGTCCACATGTGGCCCTCCGGACTGTCTTGTCTGCTCTGGAACTCTTCACGCCAGCCTAGAACAAATACAGATGGTGGTGGCGGAAGGCCTGGCCTGAGCCGGTGATGGTGTTTGTGGAGTACCCGTGTCAGTTTCGTTCTCTTTTATAAGATATACATGCTTTCAGTTGTGTGCAAAAGTGTCGATTTTACCAGTGGTCATTAAGAAGATGAAGGAACACTGGTCTGTCTGTCCTCCCCAGCCATAGCCACAGCCTTCCCCTGATGTATGGGGCTCAAGACTGTGCACATGCTTAAATGTGGAAGAGCTAAAAAGCAAGCCACCTGTGAAATAAAAGGGCACCGTCCTCCCACTCACATGTTGTGGCGCAGAAGGCCAGTGGCAGGTCGGAGAGGAATGCAGACTTCTCAGAGGTCTGGCGTCCGGCAGTGCAGGGGAGCCCCTCCCTTCCTGGCAGTTGCAGTGGTCCGGCCAGGGCCTGGCTCCCTCAGCACTCTGTGTCCTTGGTGTTAAGGCCACACGTTTCTTCTTGCCTGGCTTACTTAACAGCAGCCCTTGAGATCCTTTTGTGGTTCTAGAGGCTGGTTTTCATCATTTTCCCAGGTGCCCTGAGGTTGGCACTTGTCTCGTTAGCCAGGTTAACTGCCTTTTGTTTCATCCAGCCTGAGACTTGTGTTTTGCTCCATGGCGGTGCTCTCTGCTGGAACACAATCTCTGTGGGGTCACCTGTTCCCAGTGTCTAGCACAGTGTCTGTCGATAGTGGCTGTTTGGTCAATATTTGTGCAATATTTTATTGCATGAGTAAATGGACCTGAGTTTATTGGAGCTACCCGGTTCTGAGTTTCCTGCCCACAGCACCTCCTCTGCACTTCTTTCGGGTCTGTACTGTGCTTTCCGTTGTTGCCTGAGTGGTCCTTCCTCTCTGCCTGTCACCACCCTTCAGTGCTTGGAACGTGGGCGCTCAGCTGTGTCTGTCATGGTATCTTAAAACCCGAAGTCTGCATCGTCCTCCTCACTCTRGCATGCTATTCTGCTTTTGGTAGTTGTCCCCCTGACTTTAGTCCTGCTTGTGTGGTTTTCTGGCCAGTGTCCTTTACATCACCAACACACCACCCGTGTCTGCTTGCCAGCACTCTGTGTCTTATCTGGCTGTGCTGCTGATGGCCAGGGGCCCTGGTGCATCTTTATGGAGGTGGGAGGAGCAGACTCTCAGCCTGCATGTGTCTGTCCAGCTCCTGTTCGAGAAACTTCCATCAAACACTGAGTGCTGGTTGACAGGCACCTGCTTCAGTGCCTGAAGGGTGATACGATGTCTCCTGGCATCTGCCTGCTTTTCTGCCTTTTTAATGGAAGTTTTAGTTTTTCTCCTCTCTGCAAATGATATGTCTGGGGGTCAGTCTTTCTTTTTGGTTCTGACTGGGACTTGTGGTCTCTGTTCTGAAGAAGGCTCTTTTTTAGTCCTGGAGAACTCACAGGTGTTTCTTAGGCACCACTGAGTGTGGTTGGGCCTTGTTCCACCTCCTGGTGTGGTCTCTGCTCTTCCAGGGACCCAGCTCTGTGGTTGCTAGGAGCCACAGCAAAAATATTGATACAGGCACCTTTGGGTTTAGTGACTGCCAGCCAGCCATTCAAATTATGATTATGTTAAGTTACATTCATATGCTAATTGGACTCCTGCTGTTTACCTGGGCCCGTTTCGGGACTCAGGTTACTCATGTCACTCTTGTAATGGGAGAGTTCCCATTGGTTGGGAAAGGATGGTAGGAGGGTGTTCCGGGGGAAGTGGAGCCCCTCCGGCTCAGGTAGAACACACGTGGTGGACCCAATTGTTAGGGGACGCACACTGGCCTCTCACAAAATAAAACTTTGTCTCAGTTTGACTGGCTTGTGTTTTGTGCCCAACCGGGTTGCAAGATTGCAAGCCGGTGTGCACTGACAGCCCAGCAGGGAAGCGCTCAGCAGGGGTGCGGCAGGCAGTGCTCGGCGACAGCAGCGCAGCGGCAGGAGCGGAGCTCAGCCAGCCCGCTCGGCCCAGGGCCGGGCAGCCTGCAGCATGTGGTGCTGAGTTTCAGGTGACTGACTTCCTGCTGTGGACTGAATTGCCACCTCAAAGTTCACATTGAAGCTCTGTGTCCCCGTCCCCCCCCCCCCCCCCCCCCCCCCCCCCCCCCCCCCCCGTGTGACCACATCTGCAGACAAGGTCACTGGGAGATAACTAAGGTGAAAGGAGGTCACAAGAGGGGGCCTCGTCCAGTAGGATGTAGCCTTTGAAGAGGAAGAAGGCGTGCTCTCTTGCCCACACTAAGAGGCTGCTGTCTGCAGGCAGGATGTGCTCCCTGACCAGAAGGACCAGGCCTGGGGCATTGGCCTTGGGCTTCTGGCTCTCAGCCTTGGAGGACAGTCTGCACGTCAGCTCCGCCCCCCAGTCTGCAGCAGTGTTCTTCCCTAGTGGCCCTGCAGTTCCACACTGTCCAGCCTGTCCGTTGCAGATTATGCCCTTCCTAGAAGTCAGTGCTACCAGCCTGACCTCTGGGGGCGCTGGGGACTGGGGTCAACTGTAGACTGTGCTCCCGAGGCTTGGGTGCTCTCCCTGGTTGGCAGTGCTCCAGGCACATGGAGTGGCTGGAGGAGTGGTCGCCTTGTGTGCCTCCTCCCTGGCTGATGCCAGGCTAGGTAGCCTCAGCTGTGTGACTCAGAGCCACAAGCACAGCAGCCGTCAGTGGGCTGGGAGTCCTTTTAGAAAGTCTCGAGTTGGAGGGTGGTCCAGGAAGCCCGGCACCCTGCCTGGGTTTTCTGAGGTGAGGTGTCTTGGGCAGTCATCTGGCCCCTCCCTGGCCTTTGTCTTGTGTGGGGACAGTGCTGCTCGTCCAGGTATGGCTCCTTGGTGGTGTGTGTGCTGGGTCCAGCACTCATCTCGGGTGGAGCTTTTTCTGTGCACACCCATGTGCTGGCCTGTGGGCTTCTCTCTGGAGTGTCTGTGCCCTTGTCCCCACAGACACCCAGGGTTGTCAGTGGTGCTGAAGCAATTTCACACTGCTGCTTGCCTGCTGTTCCCGAGCCGTGTTGGTTGTGTTCATCTGGACTCTGCCCATGTGACACCGGCCTGAGGGTGGATGACTGGAGATAGGTACAGATGGTACCTGCCCTTCTTGCCCCTGCCCCTCCCCTGATGCTAAATCCAGGTGTCGCCACGTACCTTAGCAATAGGAGGCAGATGTGGCTTGACAAGTGCTTGCACGTCAGATCTTGTCCTCTTGATCACTCTTGGGGATGCAGGGCCATTGGGGAGAAGGGCCCAGGCCCAGCTGACCCTCAGGAAGTGCAGCAGCCCTGGGAGGGCCTGCAGGGCCAGCAGGAGACCCTTTACATGGTGGAGGGGCGGCTGACTGGATGGCATGGACACTGGATGCAGAAGGGCCTCCCTCTCTCTACCCAGGGCCCTGGGCATGGCGTAGGCCCCTCAAGGTCCCTCTGATGGCTAGAGTGTGGTGCCCTCGTGCGTCAAACAGTGATTTCTGTGTTCCTGGTAGCTCAGTACCTCCTTTTTCCTGTTGCTCTCACTTATGTGATAAAGTATTTTTCTTAGCTTTTCCAGGCTATGGGGTGAGGACACCTTGGTGCCAGATGACCTGATCACCGTGGTCCCATCTCCTTACTAGATATCTGGTGTTCTCTTGAATTGGTTGCTTATAAGTGAAACAGATTTAAACAGAGTAATGGCATGTTTTTTTAAAAAAACTAGACATGTAAGATTAGGACTAGAAAGAGACATACTGAATCCTTAATCCCCATCCCCAAGGTAGGAAGCAGACATGAGATTGAGGTGGGAGTCAAAGGTGACTTTAGCTTCAGGTCATTTTTAAATTTCCTGCCTTGGGGGTTCATCTTGACCTGGATAAAATGGGACACAAGCCAAGTTGCTGGTGGCGGCTTGTGGTGATGGAGTATGATCAGCTCCTTCTCCCCTGTGTTCTTTTCAGAATTTTTGAACAGTGCCCACAAATCAAGTGTTAAAGAGTGAGACGTGCTACACTGGGCGCAGGCTCTGCTAGACAGACCTGCCCATAGGTACCCGCAACTCGGGGACGACACAGGAGTTCGAGCTGGGCTCCTGCAGTGTTGGCTGAGCCCACCTGTTTCACTGCCATGTGGTCCTTCTGGGATGTTCCTGGTGTGCCTCTAGACTCTTAAAGATCCCACACTGGTCTTTCCTGTAAGTGGCCAGGCACTGTATGTTTTAGTGACAACGGGCGAGTAGGAACCGTACCACATGTGGGCTATGGCACTGCGTCAGCAGTGTGACCACCTCTAACCTGGCTTTGCAGAATAGAGAAGAAGCGCACCATCGTGCCCACACTGGCTGAGGCCATCCAGGAACAGGGCGGGAGAGAGGTGGACTGGGAATACTTCTACAGCCTGCTCTTCACCTCAGAGAACCTCAAGCTGGTGCACATCGCCTGCCACAAGAAGACCACCCACAAGCTCGAGTGCGACCCTGGTAGGATCTACAGATCCCAGAAGAGGCCAAAGAGGCGGCGGCCTGCTCGAAAGTGCCGGTGACCCGGGTGCCGAGTCCTTTACCCTCCACAAGGCCCAACTGTGCCTAACAGTAACAGGTGCGATTTTGTATTTTGTCCTCACTCCAGTGGTTCCTGGAAGAAAACTTCTTCAAACCTGATTTCAGTACAGTTCAGAGTCTGTTTCCTCTGCCAGAGGACATCTTTTGGGTGCTTGCTGGGCGCTTGTGTCAGGGAGTCATGCTGAGCTCTGGCCTTTGGCACTGATCCGCAAGCACTGCATGTGCTCCTGTGGCAGTCTCCACGCTCATAAGGCCCCACAGCTGAGCCTGGCTGCTTCTGTGCCTCAGTTTTGTGCTGGTCTCCATTTAAATGGCAGTTCCATCTCTGGATCCTTTTAAAAGCCCCAGAGAGAGATGTGTTGCTTCTGGGGTAAAAGTCTGTGCTCCATGGAGAACTGCAGGGTTACTGCTGYGAATTATTTAAAACTTTCCAAATGTCTCAGTGGGGAATAGCTGAGTGGCATTATGTTGGACCTTGCAAGCTTGCTTTTTTTTTAGGTAAAAAATGGTTGGATGTCATTAATTTCATGATTTGACCTAATGCATGTACATAGTGCAAAACTGTAATAGCTTTAAGTGTTTGTAAGTGTTCATGTGTAGAAATGGGAAGCTGTTGAGTGCACAGGGGGCTGGCTATGCAGAGTATGACCTATTGGTTTTTTTTTTTTATATGTATTTTTTTGTTGTAAGTGGACACAATACCTTTATTTTATTTTTATGCGGTGTTCAGGATCAAATCCAGTGCCTCACGTATGCTGAGTGAGTGCTCTACCACTGAGCCACAGCCTGACCTGTTGGTTTTTTAAATGTGTGTAGGAAGCTGGATATAGTAGCACATGCCTGTAATCCCAGGAGCTCAGGAGGCTGAGGCGGGAGGATTACAAGTTCGAAGCCAGCCTCAGCAATTTAGTGAGGTTCTTTGTAATGTAGCAAGCACCGTTTTAAAATAAAAAATAAAAAAAATGGGGAGCTAGGTCTGGGTCTCAGTGTTTAAGAGCCTTGGGCCTTAATCTCCAGTACCAAAAACAAAGTGTATTATGTGCAGATAATCTGGGAGGAAACACCAAGCTGTGCATGGCAGTGATCCTGGGCACTTAACAGGAGTGGAATGGGTAACAAAGCGCTAATTTCCTACATCATGCATTTGTAATACTTGAATTTTTTAAAATGTGTTTTATAACAATTCATAATGTACTTTGTAAAGATAAATTTCATAATATTTGGATTTTTACACTTATGCCATTAGAAAAAGCAATAAAGGGCTCTCTAAACCGTCAGGAGTCTGCTCATTGGGAGTGACGAGAATAAGGCTGAACTGAGAGGCTGGAGGCCATTAGTGGCCGACCCTAATCCTCCATCTGCAGAGACCCAGCAGTCTCGGAGCACAGCTGTGGTGGAACTGAAGTCCCAGCTCAGGGTGGTGTCTGCTTGGTCTGTCAAGGGCTCAAGGCAGAGGGAGAGTTGGGCTGGTAGCCAGGATGCCTGGCACAGGAACTTCCTGGAACTCAGAGGGTCCCACCTGTGCAGCAGGCTGTAAGCCTCTCTAGTCCAGAGAGGGCTGCTCCAGATGCCAGTGGGGACTTGCCCTTTGTGGTGGCTCATACCTTCAGGAAGCGCCCCTTCTCCTCTGGGCACACTGAGCACTGTGCTCCCCACGTCTTGTGTTTAGAGATGGTTTCTAAGAAGTCCTTTTGTAATAATGTGGCCTCCTGTTGCTTTGGGGCTATGCCCGCAAGGCAGATGCTTGTGGTCAGCCTGTGCAGAGGGTGTGCGGTGCTCACGGTGATCTTACTWTACACTAGTGTGTTCTGAGGTTTATTTTCTCTAGTGCTTAGTGTTCACATGTGCTGTGGGTTGATTCCCTGGTGTTTCTGCAGGTGGCCCTGCATCTGGAAGCACAATGGCAGGACCTCTGCACTGGGTCCATTTGCTCCAGAGGCCCTGCCCACCACCTGGGGCCGCTTACTATACGTATGATACCTGTGCTGTGGCAACTCTTGCTTCCCTTTGATAGTGACCTTCAGGGACTTAGGTTTGTCATCTCTGCCACCTCAATCCTAGATGTCATATGAGGCTTCTGGGACTGGCTCAAGTTGCATGACCAGTTAGGAAGGGCCCTACACAGGTCAGGTGTGGCAGAACCGATTGTGCTCCCGCCTAGGCAGTGCAGATTACAGACTGCACTAATGCAGCAATCTAAAGATGTAAATTATTTCCCCTGGCTTTCAGAAAATGACTACATGGGCTGGGGATGTGGCTCAAGCGGTAGCGCGCTCGCCTGGCATGCATATGGCCTGGGTTCGATCCTCAGCACCACATACCAACAAAGATGTTGTGTCCGCCGAGAACTAAAAAACAAATATTAAAAAAAAAAAAAGAAAATGACTACAAATAAGTTTTGAATTATATTCAGTCAATGGATAAATGGCAGAATCTTCCAGAGCAGGTGATGGTCACAGATAATGGGGATCACAACAGAAGCAGAGAATGGTGCAGGGAAACTACTTGCAGGGAGGGCAGTGGAAGGAGCCTCACAGGGCTTGTCACCTGCTCAGTGGTCTGCTGTGTTGTCACTTCCTGTTACCTCATAGCCCGGCTGACAGTTGGCGGGCAGCCTGGCTACACCCAGCCAGGACTGCGCAGGAGCCCAGACAGGGAGCCACTCCTTACAGAGTCCTGTGTGTTCTCAAGGGCCGAGCACTTTTCCCGTTGGTATAGCCAGCGGCCAGKCTTCCTCCTCCTAGGTGCTCTGCTGAGCCCTGGCACACAGCTGAAAGGAAGAGGCTGGGAAAGCCCCCCTGTGCTGCACCCCTTTGTCCACTGGGGAAGACACGTCAYCAGGTGCTTCTTGATACAAGTGGGGGCTGGGGAACATCCCCAGGTAGGGCTCAGGTGTGTGGGCCCAGGGTGCCACCTGAGAACACATGCAGCCGAATGGTACACCTCACTGGATGGTGCCTCCACCACGCAGAACGAGGGAGGCAGTCTGACCCTGTTGTGGCAAAGGTGAGTGAGCTGTCAACAAGGACAATAGGGCAGGGCAGGGGCTGGGTCGCCTCAAAGCCTGTCCCAGCGGCCTTACCTCTCCTGCAGGTTAATGGGCCTAAACAGTGGTCCTAGCCTAGGGACAAGGTTCATTTTTTCCCTTGGCTCTCAAATTTTTGAGGAAGGAGTAGTTTTAGGTACAGTACTTAAAAAATTTTCAAAATATATTTTTATTTCTTTCCCATGTGTATTTTGTAAAATCTCAAGGTCAACACTAGCTCTACACTGCAATGAGGACAATCCTGCAAGCACTGGCACTGAATTGATCAGGAGTGATCAGATTCTGATAATGGAARAAAACAAACAAACTTGCATATCATAAAACTAAGGAGCTCAAGGGAAGGTTTCCTTACAAAGATCATACTCACTTAACACGGAGCCCTCATGGCTAACCCAGGCCAGCACCACAGCATACAAATGTGACAAAAGATGCCTGCACCCAAGCAGCAGCTGCAGGGCTGCACGGACACCTCCCACAGGCATCTGGTGTTCTGCACAGTTCTCTTAGGGGTGACATCTGATTAAGACATTCTCTTGGAGATGCACTGTATATAAATTGCATAATTTGGTAAACTGTCAAACTGTTAACTATCCTGAATGTGTTGAGAAATCATTCTGTGCTTCTCTACATTTCTGCATCATCGTCATCCTCATCGTCTTTGGCTCTGAAATGCATTTTTCTGAATTCTCGTCTGCTCATTGAAGGACAAGCTGAAGAGGCTGGAGGCAGGTCCTTAGAGGGAAGAAAACACGGACTTCAGTCCCAAATAACACAATGACACAATGAGAGCACCTGCACACACAGTTCACCTTGGTTAGCTCTGGTCTGGCCGAGTGGGCCTCCCTGTTAGACATAGAAATGAGGAGGTCCAAGCACCCATCCCTTGGTAAGGAGGACTCTGGTTCAGGCAAGAGAGGGGCAGGCAGATTCAGGAAACCACAGTGGGGCAGGGTGCTGGTGCACCTGGAAGGTGCCCGCCTTTCTCAATGGCAGGATTCTGAGCCTGGGAGCTGGAGGGAGTGCCCTGATTAGATAACCCTTATTTTTTTCTCTTGCACTAAAATTATTTGTGGCGAGGCCTGCTTGCAGGCCTCAGATGCAGCAAGGGAGGGGGATGTGCCACTCTTACCTGCATGAGTTCAACATTTCCAAAAAATCGGCTCACTGGCATGGGCTGGTTGCTGTCATCGTCTAGAAAGACGCTGTTGTCCATCTGAAACAATGGCTTCCGCACATCCTCTCTTTCCAGCGCCACCTGGTCCTGCCCCACAGAACAGCCATTTGACTCCTCTGCCCCTGCCCCTGCGCTGGGTTCCTGTGTAGACAGACCATCTTCAGTCTTTGCTGAGCAAGGGTCACTGGCAGCTTTGCAAGGACTGTGGGGAGGCGCTGCAGCCTCCTGCTGTGTAGCCACACCAGCCTCACGGCCTAGGAGCAACATACTGTCTTCTGCAAACTCATTTTCACAAGGGACCTTGGGTGCCACTTTTGGCAAAGAAGCACTGTCACTTTTAGGGACTAGTTTCTGTAATTCAACCTTCAAAAGATGACTTCTGTCACACTTGAACTTCTTGGAAGTCCGCCTGTCTGCAGCCTTGTGTGATGAGGAAGTCTGCAAAGAAAGAAGAACGTAAAGGGGAAACTAGACACATCTAGCAACCACAGGCCTCGATCCCAGAGGCTCCTGTTTCTTCTCACCTGAGACAACATAACTCTTGTCACTTTTTGTCACCATTGGAGGGACAGAATAAAACCTTGTCATTACTCCATTGCTTTCGGTTTTCCCTGGGCGGGGGGGGGGGGGGGGGTTTCCTGAAGCATGTTTACTTTTGTTATGAAATTACAATAAGAGGATCCAGTCTCCATTCATTCCTACTAAATGGAAGCTCTACGAGTTTTTGCATTATTCTCCCAAGCCTGGTGTGTGGGAGGTGCTCAGCAGAGGTTGCTTCATGGACTTCAAGACTTTTATAAGCAGCTGAGCAAGAGACAGCACCAGCTGCCCAGTGGGCCAGGGACTCCTTGGAGACAACAGCTCAAGACTATCAGAGGGTCCTTTCCTAGCCCCCTGAGCCTTCCTCTCGTGGTTTGGGGTGAAGCAGTGTGACAATGCACCCTCTTCACTTGGACAGGCCACCTTCAGAGTGAACAATCGTGTCTTGGAGCCCAGGTCTCTGACACACATAATCATCCCGGTGGCAGACGCCAGGAAAGCCAATGTGGACTGCACAGCACAGCCTCCTGAAAGCAAAGTCAGTAGCACCAGGCTCTCCTCCGATGGGCCCTGGGATCTAAACTACATTAGCGTCTTGGAGTGATAACTTAGTATTTAGACCTTGGTATTCTTCATGGCAACAGAGCTCACCAGACATGCTGTTTTGGCAGACGTGGAGCCAGTGACATCCTGGGCAGGGGCCAAGCTGGCTTCAGAGCAACTTCGGGCTCGTAGGCGCKCTGAAGATCGCACTCCACCTGTGAGCTAGACCAGATGGAGGCTCAGTCAGAGGATGCTCCCAGGAAAAAACATGAGCATGCAGCTGAAGTCTCCCAACTAGAGAACCCCCTAGGCTTTTACTACCTTCATAGGAAGGCAGCTGTGGCCTGAATATGCACAAACAGCTGTGCCTGGGTTTAGATACAGGATCTGCTGTGCATGATTTTGGGGGCTTGGGACAATCTGTCCCCTCACTGTGTATGTTTGTAGGACCATGTGTATGTTAATGGACTCAAAATCATCTCAAAGTGTCTAGAGTAAGCAGCACATATCCTTCCTCAAAGGCTCTCAATCTTTGTTTGTGGTGCTGAGGATCGAACCCGGGCCGCATGCATGCCAGGCGAGCGCGCTACCGCTTGAGCCACATCCCCAGCCACGGCTCTCAATCTTTGATGTGTCAAGTTCTTGACAAAAGGTAAATGAAAACGAAGGCGAGTTCCTGGCCTCCCCTCCTTCCCTAAATGGCAGTCCTAACTCTAGCTTTAAGCASGTAGCTTCTTCCAGCTCTTACTGTCAGCTGCTGTCTACTTCTATCTTATTCTAAAGACAAAGGAAAGGCTTCTAATCAAAAAAAGCCTTAACATTTAAAATAACCTTATTTAAGAATAATTTTAGGTTTTCAGAAAAGTAGCAAGAACAACAGAGCAACACTAAAACTTAGCATTGATTCTATACTGTGAACTTTGGATGATATTTGGATTTCCTCTGTCTTTCCATGAATACTTTTTTATTCTGTTCTAGAATCCAGTCCAGCATATTACACTACACTTAGAAAATAAGTTTCAAAGTTCACCTTAAAAATTGAAGAGTATAAAAATGAGTAATAAAGAGAAGCAATAAACAGAAGTGAGGAATTAAGGTAGAAATTACAAGCTCAGAAGCTGTTGCCACAACGGGCCCTAGAACTGGAAATCCATGAGGTGCCAGATGCAGGTGCTCTGCTCAACAGCAGATGGAAAAACAGAAAAGGAACAAGCCAGCGTAGGGTAGCAAGTCTCCGCATCCACCCTCCACCCCTGCCATGGACTCTGCCCAGCTGGAGACAGAGCATTTGAAAAAGTGTTGGGCCGCAACCTGAGGAAGGAGGGGGCGCCCCTGATACAGGCAGTACAAGCAAGGGGCTCCTGGCCAGGGTCAGGGGCTGTTGCATGGTCGCTGGGGCCAGGCTTATGTCACCTCACAGCACAGGGCTTGGTGGGAAGAGCCCTGCAGCAGCAGTTCTGTCACTGAATGTGACACTGCCAAGAGCTGCTGTGCACCTCTCTCAGGGACAAAACTACCACTCAGCCCAGACAAGTTCATGTCCCCACACTGACAGTGAATAAAGAGGAGAGAGAGGACAATGTCACATCACAAGACACTGGGGGGAGGAGGTGTGTGTGTGTGTGTGTGTGTGTGTTCCCAAGTGGAAGGGCTCTCAACAGCAGCCATGAACTGAAGATTGGTACATCATGTAAATCAAATGGAAAAGGGAGGGAGCCTCAGAAACGCTGAGTGCATCACCAACATGTGTAATGGAACAACAGAAAGAGAGGAGAGGAAAGTTCCAAGGAATAGGGAGTGAACAATTCCCAATCTACACATCCAGGAACGTCAACGAACCAAACTTCAAGTGGTGTAAATGCCAAGGTAAGTGGGGTAAATCCAGACACATCTGTGTCGGTCCTGAAAGTCCTGGAAACAGCAGGAGACCAATGCCCAAGGGAAGGGAGCCGTGGAGGCCACGGGAGAGCATCAAACACCTTTAAGGTACCTGAAGAAGGCTGGCCACCAAGGACCCTAACCCAGCCAAGCTGCCCTTTGAGATGAAGGCAGGGCACAGACCTCCAGCCACAAAGCTGAGATTGGTTGCCAGCAGCTTCACGTTACGAGAAATACAGAGGGTTCTTCAGGTTGGGGCCAGTGACCCCAGACAGCAATTTAAATCCCAAGAAAATTGGGCCAGTGGGGCCCACTGGCCACGCCTGTCATCCAGTTGCTCAGGAGGCTGAGGCAAGAGGCAGCCTCAGCAAATCAGCAAGACCCTGCCTCAAAAAAAAAAAAAAAAAAAAAGCCTGGGGATGTGGCTCGGAGGCAGATCGCCCCCGGGTTCAACGCCCAGGCCACAGAGGACCGCGGCGGGCCGGTCCAGTGGCCCCGTCCTTCCCTCTCTGGGCGGCCAGGGCGAGCGGGGTGCACCGTGACGCGGCCACCGCGGGACCCGGCGGTCTACTCGCGTCCAGTTCCCGACCCGACACCGGAGGCGGCGGAGCGGGCCGCCCCAGCCCCGTGACTCGCAGGAGCCGCACCCGCAGCGCTCGGTGGCCGAGCAGCCCTCCGGCTGCTGGCGCTCAGCCCCGGGCCGGCCGGTCACGTGCCGAACTCCCGCCCCGGGCGGCGGCAGGGGGCCCCGGACTCGGGGCACCGCAGGAGGCCGGAGCCCCCGCCCCCGGGGGGGCGAGGCCAGGCGGAGGCCGCCCCTCGTCCCTCCGCGGCCCGCCCCTCACCTTCCTGCTCCTCATGAGTGTGAGCGGCGCCGCGGCTCCCGCGCCCCGCCAGCCGCTCCTCCACAGAGCGCCAACCCCGCGCCCCTCGACCCGCGCCTGTACGGCGTCTGACGTCTCCACGGAGCTGGCCAATCGCGGCTCGGCGTCCGCGGCACGTGACCTAACAACTGGGGTCTTTACGTAAGCGGGCGGGGCGCAGCTCGGAGGATTCGGACCTGGAGGCGGGAGGCGGGAGCCGGAAGTCGAGCGTACTTCGAGGCCATGTTTGAGACTGGCACTTCCTCGGCGCGTCTGTGGCCGCCATGTTTGAAGCGGGTGGCGGCCGCGTCTCAAGGCGCCCCAGCCGGGCCACGGCGAAGCGCATGCGTGGCGGCTGCCCTTCTGGRTCCCACCTGCGGCAGGTCCTGGGGTGGCTCGCATCCAGTCCACGCTGCACTTCCAAGAAATCTTCCTCTAATGATATGTTATTTCTCTTTCTTTTTAAAAGAGGCGGCCTCGTCAGAAGCATTAAGGCCTCTGGTTAGACTGCAGCGGTTGGGAGTGAGCTGCCCCAGGGCCCCCCGCATCTTCTGTAGCGGAGGTGCGATGCACACGCGGGTCCGAAGGCTCCAGTGCTCCCTGCTCTTTTCAGTGCATTAAAGACGCGAGTCCGTGAGGACCCTGCGGGCTCCTTTCCTCCTAAGAGACGCTTTCTTAGGTGTGCAGTGAGTCCCGGGGTCAGCTGGGCTGGATTTCCCTTTGGGCGGAGCGTGGACACTCACATGCTTGGCTGCACCCGGTCTCCAGCCCCGTCCTTCTCGCCATWCTTTCCCCCACCAGGTGCATGGAAGGGAAATGACAGGTGTGTGACCGGCAGGAAATCCATTTGAAGGGAAATTAATGTGATTGCTGCCAGGTCTTAAAAACCAGCGGGGTGCTCTGTCACACACCGAACCTGTCCGCCTACTGGTCGCTTCCATAGTTTGATTCGGGGATCTTTCTGGAGTCCTTCAGAAGCTCACAAGCCAGGGAGGGGATGACCGCCACAGCCAGTTTCCACCCTCCTGTTGGCAGGTGGAGTCGGGCCACCGTGTGATCTTGTGATGGGTGTTCTGGCCTTTCTGAGCCACTGAGGTTGACATCCCTAGGACTCTTGGTCCTTCTTCACAGGTATGCGGTGTTGGTCCCTCATTCCTGGCCAGGGATGGGAACAGTTTCCAAGCAGCTCTGCTGTTGGTCCCCACCCCAGGGTTGTCCTTGTACTTCATTCTCTCTGGCCACATCCAATCAGCTGCTGGACCCTGTTAACTCTAGACTGCAGAGCCTCACTGCTGGCCCTCACTGCTGGCCCTCACTGCTCCTCTGGCCCCCTGCCCACAGCAGCAGGGCAGGCAGGGCTCCATGGTGGGGACTTGCTTCACTTCTTCCAGGATCAAGAACAATAGTCTTAGCATCTCTTCTGAGACCCAGTTTGGTGCCCAGCACATGGTAGACCCTGGACAGATGCCTCACTGAATGGAGGGCCCTTGAGCTTGTCTGCCCGGCCTCCTCTGGCCACAGTGCCCTGCTGTGCACACTGCTGGCTGCTCAGCTCCCCAACAGCTGCCATGGCTCTTCCATGATTCTCTGCTCAACCCATTTTGCCTGGCTCATCGATTCTTCAGCTTAAATTTCGTGTTGTTAGGGCGGCATCACCAGATGCCCTCTTGCCCCCACATTAAATGTGTCAGCTAAGGGCCTTTGCCTCAGGACATGGTGCTGGGTTGGGTGTCTTCTTCCCATCTCCCATCGCTGCACCTTCATTCTTGCTGACTCACTCAGCATGTGCCTGCTGAGCTCCCACCGTGGGCCAGACAGACCCGCACTGGGGTACAGTGGCCGCAAATGCAAACAGGCTGACTTTTTAGAGCTTTGGTTCAGTGGGGGAGAAGAGTGTTGGTGAAATGTTCACATAAAGAACTGGGGATTTTCAGTGTGATGGGAACACACACGATAGGCCTGCTGGGGTGGGGGACCAGATAAGGGTTCTTGGTGACTAGGGTCACCTCCTCCCTCCTTCACCTTTTGGGTCTAAAAAGGAAAGAGGTGGGGCCCTAGGCTGGCAAGCTGCCCCCTGACGACAGGTGCTAAAGTACCCAGAGGAGCCTTCTCAGTTGCTGGGTTGGGTTGCAGCAGATCCTGGAAGAGCACAAAGCCACTCCACACTGAAGCCAGTCACTCCATGTGTCTCCGAGTTTCTCATGTTTGTTTCATTTCTTTATTTCTGATTTAGCTGCCCCCTGCCCTTCCAGGATGGGGGCACCACGAGGGCATCGTCTTCATGGCCTCACGGGATGCTTGTGCAGTGCTCGTGTGGRGCGGGACTCCCACACGGACTGTAACCCCTGAAGGCATGGCCTGGCACAGTGCCTGCCCTTCTGGTGGCCCCCACGCTGACGTTTGTGGAATGGGCTGTGGTGGAGATGATGCATTAGAGACCTGGGACTGCAGATTCCAGGGAGCTGGGTACTCTCCTACACCACAGAGTCGCTGCTTAACCACCACGTGTCCACAGCTCCGTATTTGCCTTCAACAAACACGTGAGGCTGATGAGAAGTTGAAGAGGATTTCCAACTGATTAGCAGTCAGGAGACCCATTAACCAAGGCCACCCGGCCAGAGCACATCTCATTACCGCAAGAGACGGTGGCCTCTGTGATAAGGAATGATCCTTTCCTGCATCTGACCCTTTATGTCTTAAAGAACCACGTTAAAGAAAGGCAGAGGAGGAAACAAGGGAAAAAAAATAAAACAACCTGCTTTAAAATGTCCTCTGATAAAGTTTCTGGTGGCCACCTTCCCCTTCCTCCTGGCTCTGCTGCGCAGTAATAGCCAGGAGTAGGGTGGCACCTGCTGTTGGCAAGCCTTCATTCCTCAGTGGCTCCCACACAAGTTCACCCAGGTCCTGCCAGATGTGAGGAGGTGGAAGGAGGATGTGTGAGATGGGACCTGGTGGGCACCTGAGCCAGTGCCAAGCAGGAGACAGTCTGTAGTGTCAGGTTGGTCAAGAAGAGCATCGGGAGGCACTGAGTTGGGCTTCATGCTCTCTGCGGGCTGACAGCTCCTGCAGAGATGGAAGGGAGGGTAGGGGAGCGGGGGGTCCTAGGCATGGGCAGTGGGAACCCCAGTGCCTTGTAGGGCTCTCACTGGGCTAAACATTCTGGGAGTTTGGGGAGCTTACTTTGTCGACTGATCAATAGTCTGTGACATTAATATGTTTGAGTACAGAGACCATTTTCTGCTTCAAATATCCCCCAACCTCCTGGGATGAGGGTGCAGCTGTGGGTTGATTATACCTGCTCCTTTTCAGCGGGACTGGGATGGGTTGTGGCCTGACTTGTGGACCTGTGTGACACTGCCCCAAGCTCACAGCCTGTTCCCATCCCATCTTGGTCTGTTGGCAGGGACTTGGAGCATTCCTTATTCATGTTTTCTTGTCTTTTCGTTCTTGGCTTCTGTCTTTTATCTGCAATTAATCGTGTGTGTTTGAAAAGTCTAATTGTGCTTCTGCTTTTATTGATAGCAACTCTGAATCATTTTGGTGAATCTTCCAGGCCTAAGTAGAGAGGAAGGAAAATGTTCATAGGCCCTACACTGCACCAACATAGGCCCCAAGGAAGTACACCAGAAATCACTGCAGACATCTTCCCGCACCCCGTCACTGCACTTGGAATCTATTTGTTGAATCCTTCAAATATCTGGGGAGCTCCTGGTGTGGGCTTCTGCCTCGGGAGAAATCCTGGGGCAGCATCTCAGAGTGTGGGCCCTGGGCTGGGGGTGTGGCTCAGAGGTAGAGTGTCTGCCTAGCGCGCACATTCAATCCCCCTGCGTTCAATCCCCCCAGCACCGCAGAAAACAAAACACAAACACACAGCCAGGCCCCGATCACCTGCAATGTGGCTCTCGCTGGGGAGGAGCTTGCAATCTGCTGGGCTAGTCCAGGTGCACACGCAGAGTCAGCAGAGGCCACCACGAGGCACCGAGCTCTGGGGCCACCGTGGCTGCAGCTTGCCCTGGTGAGACCGAGAACCGCCCCCCCCCCCCGGGTGTAAACGACGTTGCATGAGCAGACAGGACTATTACGTCGTGGACACCACCCAGGCACCAGGGCTGGCCTCCTGGTGGCCTCACGGCCCTCTGCAGCCCTGTGGCGGGGTCACGGTGGCGACGCCCTTTGATGAAAGGACAGCGCCTGGAGAAGGCACGATTCCCAATTCAATGAAAAGTGCCTTTTTTTGAGGTGTTTGGGGCCTGCAGGAAGAAGTACATGAAGGTGGAGTGCCCTATTTTGAGAGCCGCCTTGCCTGCCGGGGCTGGTGGAACGTGAGCTGAGGCTCCAGCTGCAGAACCCGAGGCGGGACCTGGCCTCTCGCACAGACGACGGCTGCCTCCCTCGCCCAGGTGCCCCTCGCCCTTTGGCTAAACATTAGGGACAGATTCTGCCCATAAATGTGCCCGTTGACAGGAGTGGTTCCCTCTGTGGCTGTGCAGTGCCACTCCCGTCGTGCACAGGAGGAATACGTTCTGGGGCAACTGTCCCTACCAGAGCTGCAAGGGAAGCCCGTGCATGGACACCCCGCCCCTCCACGCCGGGAGATGCTCCCGGGGGGGACTCTGCCCATTCTCACTGATGTTCCTTTGGCAGAATGTGGACCCAGCTGGGACTGGGGACATTGACCTCCAGCCATCTCAAGGGCCATTCCCACATGGGGCCTTCCAGAACTAAATTTCATGGACTGTCAAATCAAACGGGTTCCTTCAGGTGCCAGAGATATAAGTTGCCCTCGCTGTCCCTGGAGGGGACAAAGGCCTCTGAGGCGGCATGGTGGCTGGTGCAGGAAGCAGAAGCACCGCCCGGGGAGCGCACAGGGCCTAAAGGCTCCCTTCACTTGAAGATGAGCATCAGCAGAAGTCATTTTGCTGAGACGTGCAACTGGAGAGATTCAGCACCGGCAGCATCAGCTTCAGATTCGAAGCTTAGTGAGGAGGAAGCTGCCCTGTCCCCACAGACGTGGCTGGCCTCGGTGGAGGAAGGGGAAGGAGTTCCAGGGAGATGGTGCCTTCTCAGAGCAGGGCTGAGGCCAGCCTGCAGGTGGGCAGGAAGCAGCTCTGAGCAATCTGGGGTCCATGAGAGGCAGAGTGGCCCTAGTTCTCCTCGTTGGTCAGGGTGGGGTCTGCCCTGCTTGGTGGCCCAGGAGCAGAACGGCAAGCACTTGGTCTCTGCTCACTCTGGCCGGCTCCTCTGTGTGCAGGAATCCCCAATCTCCTTGTAGGACACTTGGCTGCTAATACCCCTGTGGCTGGTGCCCTGTCCAGTTGTTCTCCAAGAATCCAGATTCAGGCCAGCGGGCTTTGAGGAGACTGAACGATGGATATGTGGCACCGTGCACTGGCAGCACCTAGCAGCTATGAACTCACCTCGTGGCACGGCCTTGCCTCTGKGGCCTGGCTCTGCCCACGTCCCGCTGTCCAGGGACGCGTCCCCCGCCTAGCTCAGGCACCCGCTCCTCTCCGCCTCACGCCCCCCTTTTCAGAGTCTGGGCAGAAAGCAGAAGGCAGGGCCTGCCTCATGGCTGGTCTCCACAGGCCCCTGGGTTCCTGGGGTGTCGGCTCATGCGTAAGCCGCAGCTCACAAGGTGCGTGCCTCGTCTAGGGTTTCATGTCGGCACCATCTGGAATTCCTGGGTATTTCCCAGGTGACTCATTGGACTGAATTTAGAGGTGAAAAGGTGGGGAAATCTTTCCGTTGGGTTCGTCGGTTCCAGGATGTACACTTAGTATCCCAGAGGGAGAATTTTACCAGAGGCAGGAATGGGGGACGATTCTGTCTCTGTCTGTCTCTCTCTGTGCCTGTCCCTGTCACTCACAGACAGCAGGCCAGGCCACACACACAGGGGAGGGTTCCCAGCCCCCCAAGATCTCATTTCTGAAGCCAGTCACAAGTTCCGGGTCCCCAAGATCACCCTCAGATTTGATGATTCACCAGAGGGCCTCGCAGAACGCACCTATCGCTGCTCCACTCAGAATGGTGGCCTCTCATTGGGAAAGGACACAGGTAAGACGAGCAGAGGAGGGGACAAGTGGCTGAGTCCAGGAAAGTGCCTGAGCGGAGCTCTTCTCGTCACTCCTGGGGTCACTCCACTGGCACCCGTATGTGACCACTTCACCAGCCCAGGGAGCTCCCGAGCCCCCGTGTCCAGMGTTCTTGTTGCTGGGCTCCATCACCTGGGCGGAGCTGACTGGTGGGTGGCCCACGTGGCCATCGGTCTCCCAGCTGACTTTCCATCTGACCCGAAGCCCCTACCCCAAGGCCCGCGGCTCAGCTTTTGGCTTGGCTAATCCCACCCTATGGCCATCCAGTGAGGCTGTGCCCATCCTAAGTCACACCACGGGATTAGTCAGGGTGGCTCCAGGCCCCAGGGAAACAGTGACAGGCTCACCAGGCAGGACCCCCGAGAGGCTGCCTCCCAGAGCTGCTCCCTGACACACAGGAAAACATGAGATAAGCTGTGGCCCCGTGGGTCTGCGGCTCCCCTTTCCTGGAGCTGATTGGAACATTCTTATCTCCTTTTCCTGGATTTCTGTGGGATTTCTCTGGAACTAATACCTACTGCACGTACCTGATGACAAAGAAAAAGGTTTTGTAGAGACATTTTCCTCTAAGGAAAAAAGAGGCACCCTGCCTTCCTCTCAGTCGGAGAGAAATGTTCTTCTGAATAATTTTTTAATTTACTAAAAGTTTTCTGACTCCGTGGCTGAGGGGATGCTAACTTCCCGCAGAGGGGCTTGCAGATAAAGTGTCTTCGTGAACGTGTGGCGCCTCAGCCGGCCCTGGAAGCCCAGGGGCGCCTCGCTGTGGGATCGCTGAAGACTCCTGCCTTTCCCTCCTCCCTTGAATGGGGCCCTGCTCTCCAGCCGGCCCCAGCCTGACCCCGGCCACTGGTCCAGTCAGTGACGAAGGCATGATCTAACCCACCAGGGTGTCATGGACCCCTCGTCATTCATTTCTGCTGCTCGTCATTCTTAGAGAATCCGGCGTCCTTCCGCGGTCAGCGGAGGCTGGATGTTCTGCACACCCAGCCCCAAGCCTGTGGTTCTCACGGTCACACACAGGTCGGGCACTGCACCCAAACGGTGATACTTTCCCCTTGAAGTTCTCAAGAGGGATTTTTCTGGCCATGATTTTGAAAATTCATCACTACTATGCCCAGGGCTACCAGAGGCCTGCAAGAGCGGAGCTGCTGCCGAGCCAGCGGAGCCCCGGCCTGGGATCTCGGGTCACCTCCCAGACCTCCTGCCTGGACCTTTATGCTGAGGATGCTTTGCACGAGGGGCTCAGGGTGCAGGGCCACACTGCAGAGGCCGGGCGGTGGGGTCCTGGGGTTTTCTGAGAGTGGCTGGGAAAGCAGCACACAGTGACTTCAGAGTGGAGGACACCCCGCCCCCTACAGGCTCAGCCCCACTTCTTCTTCTTTATTTTTTAGCATTTTTCCTCACAATATCTTTTTTCTGTCTATTTATTTTTATGTGGTGCTGAGGATTGGACCCAGGACCTCGGATGTGCTAGGCAAGCGCTCTACCACGGAGCCCCAGGTCCAGCCCTCAGCCCGCACTCTGACCTCATAGGACTTCACCTTTGCAGAGAGTCGGCTGTCCACCTGCATGGGTGGCTGGCACAGGGTCTTGGGCACAGGAGTGACCACGGTTTTAGTGACCAAGTCATGGATAGTT